ATAACAAGCAGAATGGGTAGTTCAGAAGTAAACCCATGCCTATATGGTCAATTAATTTATGACAGAGGAGCCAAGAAGACCCAATGGGGAAAGGACAGTCTCTTCAATAATGGTGTTGGGGAAATGGGGCCCCAGTCTGCCACCATACATAAAAATCAACTCAAAAAAATTGAGGTATCTGATAACCATAAAGGAACATGTTAACTAACATATGTAAGTTTAAGCATCATGATACTGTGAATATCCTTGAACCCACCATCACATAGGCAAGATCTAGATGAAAATCAACTTTCATCTTCCCCTACTGCCTTTTCCCCTTAAAACTACTCAGTCTTCTGAATTTTATATTTATTGTTCCCTTTTCTTGGCCAATAAGAAAAAGCCTTGCTGTAGTAGTTTAAAACAAGTGTGTGTGTTCATGTCTAACTAATAGTTCAGTGTTGCTTGTTCTTAAGGTTTATAAAACTGGCAGCATCCTAGGTAGTCAGTCCCCTGGGACTTGCCCCCCCCCCCCCCGAATCATTCTGTTTCTGGGGTCACTCATGCTGTTGCATGGAGCTGTAGGTTATCCATATTTTCCTCATCTCTGTGCTGTTTCCTGTTTGGACCCCTCAGGATTTGGGATGACTCCCAAGCGAAGGGCTCCAGCGAACTCTAATTTTAACTTTTTACAAGCTGTCATTAAGCTTTCCCATGTTGCTCAACTTATGGGAAGCTTTTAGTCATTTACTAATTTAATGAGAATTAGATATCCTTAGCCTTGGAATTTTGTAGTGAAGTATTATTTCCAGTTAAGATAAATTGGGATTAATGCAAAATACGAGTTAGACCATTTTGCAATAGTATTTTAGGGGTTTGCGCTAGATAGAGTCGTACAAAGGGCTGTGTGGACGGAAGCGTTTATGCTGCTGGCCCCCTTGGGAGGTGAGGCTGTGATCAGCGTATGGAGATTCGGGGGCGGGGGGTGAACAGGCGCCATGGAAGAGTTAAAACAATGTCTTTTCATGTTGACTTTCTCTGGTCAAGTTAGGACTTTTCTTTTCCTAGATAATATACTGCTTAACTTGTAGTCAGTCCCTTCTGAATCCCAGTTTGTTCTGGATTAAAGTATCAGTGTAGCGAGGCTTACTTATGTCTAAATTTGTATTTTAGCTCTCAGGAAGATGGTTACTATTCAAGTTGAGAATATTTCCAAACACCAGAAGTTTTTAGGGGTTATGAGTGGTCTGTGAATTAGAATTGTGTGTGGAATTTCCTGGGGCCTTAGCTCTGATGAGAGCCTGAGAGTCTGCAGTTCCCAAAACTGATTGTTTTAAACCAGCGTTTCTCAAGCTTGACTCTGCTGACAACTTGGGCCAGGTTGTTGGGGTCTGTCCGGCACATTGTAGGGTGTTTAGCAGCATCCCTGCTCCCTGCCCATTAGATGCCAGTAGCTTCCGCTCTCCCAGGGATGACAACCAAACATCGCCAGATGATTCCTGGGGGCTAGTGGGGAGGGCAGAATCGACCCCAGTGGAGAAATACTAGCTCACACTTTTTTATTTTTTATTTTTTTAAAGACTTAATTTTTTAGAGCACTTTTAGGTTCACAGCAAAACTGAGCACACGGTCCAGAGGCTGTCTATAGAATCCGAGCCCTCGCACATGTGTGGCCTCCCCGACTGTCAGCACCCGCCACCAGAGTTCCAGCTGGTGAACCTACACTGACACATCTCAGTTCCTCAAAACCCGTAGTCCCCATTAAGGTTCACTCTTGGTGGTGTCCATTCTGTGGGCTTGGACCAATGTATGATGACACGTATCCGCCATTACAGTATCCTATAGGGTAGTATCACTGCCCTAAAAATCCTGTGTGCTCCGCCTTTCATCCTTCCCTCTGCTCTTTTCACTGTCTCTGTGGTTTAGTCTGTGCCAGCGTGTCATAGAGTTGGAATCACACAGTATGTCACCTTTTCAGATGGGCTTCCTTCACTTAGTAATAGGGTTTTTGGTGACTTGATAGCTCATTTCTTTTTAGCGCTGAATAATATCTCATTGTCTGGATGGACCATAGTTTGTTTATCCACCCCCTACTGAAGGACATCTTAGTTGCTTCCAAGCATTGGCAGTTATGAATAAAGCTGCCGTAAACATGCGTGTGCAGGTTTTTGTGTGGACACAGGTTTTCAGTTCCTATAGGAGTGCTATTATTGGATTATAAAGTTTAGTTTCTGTTTTGTTTTTTAGCTGAGCCATCTTGCCATCTGTTGGCACCTCAGTGGGCAGCTCATCTCGGACCGGGAATTGAACTGGCGACCCTGTTGCTCAGAGGATGCACTCTTGGGCGAGCTCTTAACCAACCGAGCCACTCGGCCGGCCCTAGAGTGTGTGTTTAGTTTTGTAAGAAGCCGCCAAACCGTCTTGCAAAGTGGCTGCACCATGTTGCATTCCCACCAGCCGTGAATGGGAGTTCCTGAGGCTCCACATCCTCACCAGTGTTTGGTGCTGTTAGTGTTCTGGATTTTGACCATTCTAATAAGTGTGTGATAATATCTTGTTTTAATTTACATTTCTGTGGTGATGTATGATGTTGAGTGTTATTTCATATGCTTATTTGCCACATGTATATCTTTGGTGAGGTGTCTGTTAAGGTCTTTGGCCCATTAATATACACCTTTTAACTAGTTTAACTTGAATCATTTATTTTTATTTTTTTAAGATTTCATTGGGGAATTGGGGAAGGGGAACATACAAGTTGTTGTCCTTTTGTTCTTCAGTCTAGTTGTGAAGGATGTCGCTTCACTGGCCCATGTTGGTATTATCATTGCGCTCTTCCTGGGTGAGGCAGTCGCTTGCTGGTCTCTGGACAGCCGCTCATGGCAGCTGCCGGCCAGCCCCACTGCAGCCTACGTCGTTGCCAGCGACTCACGGCAGCCCAGCTCCAGGTCGAGCTGTTGTTCAGCATCTTAGCTGTAGAGGGTGCAGCGTCACTGGCCCTCATGTGGGATCCGAACCGGGGCCCTGCTGCTCAGGGCTGGCATCCCAAGCCAACTCTTAACCAACGTGCCACTGGGCCGGCCCCTTAACTTGAATCATTTAGGGTTTTCTATTCTTGCATGGCCAAGGGGACATATAACTATTTATGGAGTTTGAACACCTACCTCCAATTTAGAGCAACAGGAAAGACTTCAGGGTCAGGTTGAGTGGGGCAAATGTTATAAAATATTTATATTTTAAGATATTTTCCTAGAACGTGTATTACGTACATACAGAAAATACTCCAATCAAACACATACTACTATGTGTTAAACAGTTCACAGGTATTCACTAAATCATTGCAACAACCCTATAAATAAAGGCTTGTAGAGGCTAAGAACTTAGAACCAAGGCCATAAGTGAATGAATGGCAGAGCTGGAAATTGAATATCAGTCTCTCTAGTGTCCAGTCAGCTAATCTGTCTTCTCGACCCTAGAAGTGGTGTGAAAATGTCTTCCCATGCCAGCGGGCGAGACCTATGTCATCATAGCCTGGGCTGGCGTAGACGGCATGGCACAAGTAGGGAATTCATGGTCGCTAGAATGTTTCACTAAGCAAAACAAGTGCTACAAGGTTTCGTGTGTGTGTGTGTGTGTGTGTGTTTCTTTGCAGGGTAGCCAGTTTGTTGTGTGCCCAAAATAAATTGTCACTGTTAGCCATATAATTATGGTACATATTTTTGTTTTCTCTTTTTTAAAAAACAGCCTGCTGTGTATGCCATGTCAGTTACCTGAAAAATGAAAGTACTTCCAGTTAACGTGTTATGTGTTTGGTTACTATAACGTGGGTCAGTGTCCCACAGCCTGTTTAAAATTACAATAATATAACTAGAGTGTAGATGGTATTATTCAAAGGTTCTATTTCATGACAGCCAAATGAGGCATTTCCAGGATTACTGCGTATATTTTATGAAGATTGTTTAGCTTGTTGATTTAGGGCTTTCAAAAACCCTGAGACTGGTCTTAGCAGGGCAGATCCGGGACACAGATCAGATAGTGCCTCTGATTGTCCGTGTTGGGGACTCCATCTGCCTTACACGCACTGAAGAGTTTTCACCATTTCACCTGGCCCACCTTGCTCACTTTTTCTTGTTGCTCCTCCTGAGGCCTGGCCTTCTGTGTTACAGCCCACTCTGCACTGAATTTACTTTGCACTTGACCAGCCTTGGGCCCCCCTCCCCCCCATTCATTCCTTCCTCCCTTCCTCCATTATTTACTTATTTATGGTGACTGACACATGGTGGCTCTCAGGGAATATTTGCAGCACGAATGTTGAATGAGGAGAGTGTTGTGAAGCACACTGGGCATAGCTTAAAGACGGTGCTTAGTAAACGAGGCCTATCTTTATTCTCCCAGGCCCCTGGAAGCAGTGACCCCAGTGTGTGGCCTGGTACCCACTTTCCTAGCTAGGGTGTGCTCTTGGCTCTGAGTGGTTGAGGTCTTGGCCTATTTTACAGGGGCCTGGCACCTGCGAATATGTCCCAAGCTTTAGGTGAATGATGGAACCACTTACCCTTTGCGTGCATTTCTCCACTTCTTCTTTGCCCGGCTTTGTGCCTGGCTTGGAGCTCATCAAGGAACCTGACCTGGTGATGTGACCTGTTCAGACCCAGGTGACAGCAAAGGATAAAACCTACTATTATTCGAGTGTGCTCACTGCAGAGTCAATTGGGAGTGAATACAGCTGCGTCTCCCATGGTCTGCTGAGTTGGACAAGGAAAGCCTGTAAGGCTTTGAGATGTGGGTAGAACAGGGCCGCTTTCTGAACCCTGGTCTGCCGTCCACTTCCCTGAGTGTCTTTTGGATGCCTCCACTTGACGTAGGCACTGCTATCAGTTGAGGGACCAGCAGTCAGAGGGCCCACCGCCGGCCTGTATGGTCTTAGAACACCCTGGGCAAGCTGAAACTGCAAGAAAGCTTGTTAGAAGGGGGTTTGGTGTTTCTGTTGGCAAAGTGACTCAGACACTTCTGCTTCTCCTTCACAGAGTGATCAGCAGCTGGACTGTGCCTTGGACTTAATGAGGCGCCTGCCTCCACAGCAGATCGAGAAGAACCTCAGCGACCTGATTGACCTGGTACGTGCCTTGTTCATGTGGTTTCATCTGGGGCTCATCCCTGGTGGCTTTTGTGTACCTTTTTCCATGCAGAAATCACAGCACACTACACACCAGAAACATCTTCACTGGGTGATGAGATTCCTCCAGACAGAGAAAACATGAGTTTCACGTGGTGGTTTTAATTTCAGCACCACCTGCGTTCATAAGGCCCAAGATAGGAATTCTCAAGTTGGTTGCAATCTGTCCCGCCCCCGCCCCCCCCCCCCTGTTTTCAGTTTCTAGAAAGCTCACCTTTAGGCACGGAGAAGAGGAGGCCACACACATCAGTAGGCGTGTGTTCAGCAGGGTGATACGGGCTCCGTTAGCCTCTGGGCCACTGGGGAAGCTTCTCTAGCGAAGCTCTCTGAACAGCTAGCTATCCTGTAAAATGCTTCGGTGGCTCCCCTTCTCGTCCGAAACAGCCTAAAACACAAAAGACAGCTTTTGAAGAGCTCATCACATCTGTTGTTAAATATATAATTCTCTTTGAAGATTCGAAATGATTGGTTTCAAAATGATGCTTCCGATTAACTGGCACCATAATATTACTTGGAAATGCTCAAAGTATTCAAAAACATCTATATAGCTATGGGAAACAATGAAAAGAAGTAAAAATAAAATTAAAAAGCCCCCAGAGACCATCTGAGTTGCTGCCTTATTTGGCCCATGAGCTCCGGCTCTGGGACCTGGGACCTGGCCTGCTGCTCTCGTCTTCCTGTGTCCCGTGTCATCGTGGATATGATTATCAGTTGCCAACTGTGGCTCATCAATGAGGTAGCTTTTAAAATAGCAGTTTAAAAACTTGTTCACATGCTGTAGTGATATATTCAGTTTCATCGTGTGAAATCCGAAGTTTCGCTAGAAAAAGAGATTACTGGAGGAGACTCACAGCAGCTTAGAAGGTCCAGAGTGTGACGAGTTCTGTATTTATAAGGACATGAACTCCCAGTGGAGAGGCAGCTGTGTGCGACGGAGTCGAGCCTCTTGAAGGAGTTGTGAACTTGCTGTCGTTTATGTGTGGCCCTCACGAGAAAGCCAGCCGAAGGTGCTTGTGATGGATGTGAGGAGGACAGTGGAAGTGGGATGGGTCCTGGCTTGACAGACAGACCTTTTGGATGAGTATTAATGAATAGAAGGCTGAATTGTGGTTCATCTGAACCTACTGTGTGCTCAGAACCCATTATCACAGACCAAGAGCCAGGGAGGTGGTGTAAACCCCTGAAGTAGACGTGGTGTAAAAAAAGGGTTTGGGGGCCGGCCGAGTGGCTCAGTTGGTTAAGAGCTTGCTCAAGAGTGAGCACTGAGCAACAGGGCCGCTGGTTCGATTCCTGGCCCGAGCTGAGCAGCCAACAGGTGGCAGGATGGTTCAGCTTAAAAAAAAAGGAGCTTGGCTGGCAGGCCTATCTGAGGGGACAGTGGCTCCTCTCCTCCGGTCACTTGTTGCCCCCGTGGGACTATGGTCATCTGTTACTTGTTTTCAGATTTTTCTGGAGGAGCCATACATTTGGAATTTTATGGGAAGTACCCTGGTTTTTAAACACTGGATTGGCGAGATCTTATTTTGTGTAGAATTTGGACGTCTATGGGAAATGTGAGCCGTGAGAACGGGAGGCAGAGCAAACAGTGTTTGCTGAGAAAGAATAAAATGTGAAGTTGGATAGGTAGGAAGTGTCCTCGAAAGTCAGGAGGGTTTGAATTTGATGTGGTCATTGTCACCGTCGACCCCCTTACCCAAGCTTCATATGCCGTGCATTGTGCTAAGCACTTGGCTTGCGTGTCCTCATTCCATAAGGCAGCATTCCGGGGCGCAGTCTGGAAGTGCCTTATGCCTTTGCGGTTTTCTGAGATTTTTGGTCAATCGTATGTGGACGAGGTGGGCACAAGCTGGAGATATGATCAGATCCCTAATTTGGTCAGCTGCAGAGACTTCTTTCTCTTTTTAACCTCAGCGTGAAAGTGTGCTTGGCTGAGTTTAAGTTTAGTTTGCCAATTTAGCTATTACTGTGTCTTAGAAATAAACCAAACATGGAAGTAAATGATGAGCAAGTTTTTCTCAGTAGACGCTTGGTGTTGAACGGGCTATTTTGTTCTTATGGCAACTGCAGTGTTTTACTACAGCTGTGTGTTTTCTCTGTGATTCCCTCGTCACTCTTTATTCCAGCAACGTGCACTTTGCTGCTTCTATGGGAACCTGGTCAGCTGCCTCCTTGGCTGCAGGTACCAGTGGTCCTTGGGCTCAGCAGGGAATCGCAGCACTGATGGTGACTGGAGGCAGGATCAGGAGCCGTCTTCCACCTTGGCCCAGTGCTGGGTGACACAGCAGCCCCGAGGCTGGGCTTGCAGGAGGGTACTGTGTGACCCAGGTTGGAGTGCCACCCTGTGCCTGTCCCTGATCTGTCACGTGGGATCCCATAGATGACTGTCGGAGTGCACTCTCTTCCACTGTTAGCTTCATCTTCTGCAGAATGTGGCTGAGAGGACGTGGAGGCAGGTGTGGGTCGTTGATGGCTAACATTGGTTGGATACCTGCCGTGTGCCCGGGACTGAGCTGGAGGCTTCCACTTGTGTTATCAGTTCCTCGAGTTTTCATAATGTACCTATGACCACCTCAAGGTTTTAAGATGATTTAGACTCCGAGGAAGAAGCCAGGGTGGTGAGACTAAGCAGCCCCAGGAAACACGATTTCTCCTGCTGCTGGGGTTACTCTGCTGGGTACCTTTGGGTCCAATCATTTAAACTCGGAGCAACAGATTAAATGTGGTATGTCTTCCTAATGTATCAGTCTTACCTGTTTGTGGGAAAAGCGTTAAATAATTTAATTCATCAGTAATTTAAAATATTAAAACCTAGATGTATTATGGAGAATAATTTAAAATTCACATAATTAAAAAATGAATACACCTAGAGACATGAAGGACAGTCCCTTCTTAGAGCCAGGCCACTTAGGATGAGCAGTTCACTTCTGTCCATTGTGTCACCTGGCCGCCCCCCACCGGTGGTTTGGAGGTCAGCCTTGGGCCCCATCTACCTCCTAAGGCTGAACAAGAGGCCATCATGGGTTCCCATCATCCAGAATGGACTGGGGAATCGGCGTCCTCGTTAATTTTTAAATTTGAAGTATGATGAATGTCTCAGTGGAAATGGAGCGTGACTTTTCTCCGAATTGGAATCTGGTGGAGCATGCCTCATTAAAACGGTATTGACATGCTTCAAAAGCCACTTCTTGATGATGTTCTTGCTTCAAGGTCCTTGCTTCGCGCCCTGGTGTGTAAGGAGCATTTGGGCTCGTTTGGGACTGGATCTATGACACGTCCTACAAATTACTTCTTTGACTGTTTTCCTTTAATCGCTGCTAGTTTTCTTCTGTTTTCCCTGGGAATGACAGATTTGCTTTTCTTCTTTTTAAGTGGATTTGCAAAATTCTCATATTCTTGTAACAGTTGGTCCGTGCTGCGTGTACTGCAGTGGCTCTGAACTTTCACTTGCAGTTTCAGCTTCTTCCCAAAGCTGGAATCTCAGGACACTCACCCTGTCGTGGGTGCATCTGGGCCTTTATTTCATGTAATCTGGGATCAGCCCCATGTTTTCAGAGCCTCCAGTGCACTGCTGGGTGCAAACTGCAGTCATTCCTCCCATGCTCACCTGCTTGAACTAATGAAGCGGGGGGAGGGCGGCTGTTTTCAGGGAGTCTCCAACTTTAAGACTGACAAGAATGTTAGGATTTGCCAGCATTCCCCATGAAGGGAATGGCCTCGTTTAGATGTCGGAGCCAGAGACTGCAGGGGAACGTACCTGGTCTACCAGTGGTCCGATTACAGAGGAGTATTAAAGAGAAATGTGGCGTATGCTTGGCAGCTCGGCCAGGGCAGCCCAATTTATCATGTCAGATCAGCTTGCTTCTTTTCATTCCTTTCCAGCCTCAGAGCTTTTGCTGCCTTGGGATTATGACGCATGCTCTGATGGGTGGGAAATGACCTTCCTTTGCAGATGGCCAGAACATCACTTGATTACACATTAATCCCATTGTACTTGAGTGAAGCCAGCCGAAACCCGTTGTTAGGCTGTTTCAAAAATACCCACACGTCCCCATGGGCCAAGAATCTCTGATGTTAAGATGCTCCCTTGGCTTCCTAAACTTTGACCTTCTATGGCTTCGCTCTGCACACTGGCAGCCATAGCCGGGGTGTATTTTGAGCCCTGAGCTGAGGAAGGAGTTTGTTTCTGCAAATTGGCACCCAGCAGGCCCTGCATCCTTTGCCTTTTTAAGAGCAACCCAAAAATAGCCCTCAAACTGTTTAACCAGGCAGAAAATTCGCTGCTCTGGTCAGTTCGTTTTTTGAATTCCTTCTCTCTCCTTCGCTGTAGTCCCCCGAAGACCCGTCTCTTGGGTGTCCCCAGACTTTACTCAAGCAAGGGGGAAGACATCAGCGCTGGGAAAGCACCCCAGCCATCCGACCAGGCGGCGGGTTAGAGGTGAAAGAGATATCCGATGCTCCGACCAGGGAGTTGATAACTTGAGCGGCCTTCATTTCAGCAAATTCCTCTTTTTAGCAGCCAGAATTGCCCTCCAGAAACAGAAAGGGCTTTTTGCACTGCCGGCCTCAGCAGCACCTTTCCTTGGGACAGCTTAGACCTTGTCCCCCTAGTTCGGGTAGCGAGGAACATGCAAAGGCGCGTGAGGCCTTGACACGTTAGGGCTGGAGTGCCTGGACTGCGCTTAGGCACTGGGGCTCGGTGACCGAGTGAGTGAAGCCCTTACAGCTTCCGATTCCAAGAACCTGCTCACGGAGCCAAGCTGCCACACATGACTGGTAAAATCAAGCGTCATATTATATTTAATAGTTCATTAATATTACTGGTTCTCTGATTTCTGCTAAGCATTGTTACTCAGTTTTCAGTCTCTAATAGTTGAACCAATAAAACTTGGCAGTTATTTTTCCAGTGACAGCCGTGTGGAATGAGGCATCAAACGCAGTGCT